TGACAAACGTGGGATCGTAGTCGCTTGAAATGTAGATACCCCAGTGATCACAGAAGCAAGGAGAAAATGAGGCTGATTAGAACCGTGAAATGCACCTGGTCAGATGTAGTAGAACAACTGATTAGGTCGCTGTCGGATCCTGAGGAATACCATCCACGGTAGGTCATAGCCCCGACTGATGCTGCTCTGACTGTAACTTGCCGCCCCTCTTAAAAACTGCGTTCACACAGGAATAAAATATCGTATACGTGGGTACTGGTCACATTACATGCATATTTGACTCGTTTTGCCTGTTTTCAGTGGGCCAAACTGTTAGCCCTCCTCTCTGATCTGGCGCAAAATTGTTCCTCGGTAGTTACTTTCAGTATAGTGCGTCTAGTGTCAGGAAGCGGCGCATGGGGTGAACGCACAGCTGCGAAGCCAGGTGGGTTGGACTAATACATTGTTGCAGGTGCTGGTGATCGCTCTCGGATCCCTAAGACTCTCGTCTAGTACATAAGTCCTTTGGCACTAGGAAAACCAAAACGATTCGAAAGCAGAGTTGGGTTACATTCATGTGCGCTCATGAGGCTAGAGTACAGCCTGTGCATGAAAGAACCATGGTCACGTCTTTACACTTTGCAAGATCATCTAACCAATACGGACGTTCAGATCCATCGCTCTTGCCTTTTTGTGTACTATCCATCACCAAGTTTCCACACAGCATTGTGCTTACATTCATTCGACTCCAAGTTATCAGCTCCACAAGGTAGGCAGTTCTTTTTTGGATTATTCTTATTGTTGTAACGTCCGATTTACGTATGCGTTTGTGACAGATTTGTCGCTAATATCCATGCAAGAAACACCTCAGTTTTCAAGCACATCTTGAATTTTTATATTCATTCGAAAGCGCTTTCTGAAGGCGATTGAGTCAACCGGAAACCGTGCTTCTTCAGTACCATTTGCTGTCGCTGTTACATATTTTGCGATGCATTGCTGCTCGCCGAGTATTCAATTGGAAGCGATCGATATCCCAGTCACTCGCAATTCGTTGTGACCTTTTCAGCCAATGCGCCTGCATAACAAAGCACACGAACCGCGCAACCATGCCGATCGAGCACCTGACCTTTACAATCATAACGTTCGCCTACCGGATGTGCGCCGTCAGCAAAGCCTGGAAAGCACAGAACATCAACCAACTCAGGTGCCGACACCACGCTAATGGCAGAAATCAAGCAAACGCGAATCCGAAAGTGATTCAATCGAAGGGCATTTGCGGGTTTGGAGAATGTCATCGGTTAGTAAAATTAGGTTTAGCCTGCTCGCAATGTTTCAAATGGCAGTATCCGATGTGTGCAAATTTATCCCCACAACAGGTAGGAGAGTAAAACAGCTCCCAAGACGCCCTTTGGTTCTGTACTGCATGTTCAACCACCCCATTCGTTAAGTGTGTTTATTTCAGTTCAGTAGTGCGACCGGCTAACAGCGGAAACAGAGTAGCAGATGAACGATAAGATTATTTCATTGGAAGCGATTGTGCACCAAGGAAGTGTAGTGGCCTCTAAGCAAAGGAATGCAGCACAATTTGCTGAAACACAATCAGCAAGGTCCCCATAGCCGTTATCCGCCCCAACTTTGGCAGAACGTCAAGCGAAAATTGACCGTAGCTAAGAACCAAGCGGTACTCATGGCAAAGAAAATCGTGCACCATCCGAAACGTCTGCTTAATCAAATTCCACTAGACCTGGCATCTGTCGTTAACAATGACGAAGCAGCGGAACACCAGCTCTCTGTGCTGCAGATCAAAGGTCTCTTACCCAGCAGAAGCCCCCTGGAACATCAGTTACATATGCAAAGATTGCTGCAAAGTTCAGCCGGGAGGCCGCACTTACGGTCTATTCTGTTGCAAACGCCGTTAACGTGAATAGAAAGACCAACAGTAACAATCACCACTTGATAACAGGTCAGGACTAACTATTACCCGACATTGCAGCTCAACGAAAAAGTGAGCTAACAATGGTGTCCTGACTGTTGGGTGCTCAAATCCCCCTGCATCTAACGCCATTAAATTGCGTGCTAAGTGGTCGGACGACCAAGACCAACGGAACTATTGAGCATTCCAATGAGCGTCAAAGGCAAACTCATAAACCGAATACAATGGAATAATGGATTATAATGGGTAAAAAGCAAAGGCTTAATAGGTCTCGTAGATTGATAATAAAAGAGATTTAAATTTAAGTACCAGATAAGTGGACCAAAGAAAATACGCGTGGGTAAAGCGATAGAGTAATTGCGTTAAGAAGGATGGTTACTGGAGTGAGATAGTACAGACAACACCAAATAAGAAGTTGTAATGGTTAATACTCATAGTAAGTGACAAGCAGATTGCTCACCTTCTGCACAAAATTATATGCGTCTCTGTGGGTCATAGTTCCAAAGTGGTTAGTGCGCCAGAATACATCCAGAATATCAGTTCAAATAACAAAGTGTAGAGCGTTCAATTAGATATCCAAATCTTTTATGAAAATAGCTAAGGTGGGGCACAGACAACTGAGTTTGGAATGGCGTGCCACAGTTAGCAGACCCGGAGGGAGAAGTAATTTCGTCGAAAATCTTAGGACTGTGTTGTTGACACAGTTTCAGGCTATTGCTTCTGATATTGACCGTAGGGCTGAGTTTCAAAAGGTGGCGGTGACTGGGGTCGCTCAGTATGTAACATGAGGTCTCCACGTAGACGCCGGTGGCGTCCACTGTACACTCCGAGCGTCTTCAGTCGTTGCTGGTAGGGAAGGTTGCGCAATTTCTTGACAAATTTCGTTGCTCGACGTTGGGGAGTTTCGAGCGCTGCAAGGTCACGATTGAGCTACGAATGCCAGGCCTTGATTGCGTATTTGACGTGCGGATCCACATAAGCATTGTGCATTAGAGAGAAGATGGATGAATACAAACTCCAGAATCCCTATGCAAGAGACCAACATGCTGGTTACCTCTTTTTGTAGCGGATTCTGAATGTCGTCGTCGTCCTATACTTGCACACCGTGGTCACATTCCTGCGAGCACGTTTGCAGATCGTGCGCCCCAAGTCTATAGATATAGCAGTGTCTATGACGAATGTGGACAACGCGGCATTTATCCGCACTGAATGGCATTGCTTTTCTCACCGGCAAGTGCCAGGTCTCATCGAGGTCGCGATAGAGGATTTCATGGTCATCCATTACCTTGATCGCCCGCCAAATATTAACGTCGTCCGGTAAGAGTAAAAAGTTTGGGACGAAAGCTTTCGCTAGATCGTTGATGAAAACTGTTGCGGGCCCGTCAAATATCCCCGCAAAAACGCGCCAGAAACTCCGGCAGAATGGCTGTGGGAAGCGGGGTCCAATTCCTCCCCACAACGTAGCAGTGTTCAGTCACTCCGAGACGCGGCCCAACTGCGCACCTGCTGACAATGTTCTTCTACAAACTACCACCCCGTCGTGGTAGCTATTTTCCCTAACTTAATGACCCATAGCATTGGCTGTGATTTGCCCTTTGTTGGTCGTAAAAGAGCCTTCAGAGGACCACTTGCCTTTCTTCCTCTTCGCCTTAGTTGGGAGTCGGTCGGTCACGTGATTTTGTGTGCGTCGATAGCCGGGCAGCGTTCGCGTCTAAGTCACTAGTGCGCGTCTACCGTAACCCCCTCTCGTGTGCGTCCGTTCCGAGGGCTCAGCGTCTACCCGAATACGTGCGGCTAGGATCGTTCTCACGCTCGCTCAATTTCCGTCTCACCAGCGCGTACCCCGGGCTAAGCTAACGCCATCAGGTCAGCGCAAATCCGTTCGATTGGTCAGCGTTCCAAGCCGTTACCGTAGGCGTGCTCCAACCGTGCCAGTGACAATCTTATCAGGCGTTACTCAATTATAACAAAAACTGACAAGTGAGGCTCAGGTAACGAACCACGCGGTACGCCACAGTCCACTCGAATCGAGTCGGACAGAGATGTTCGGACTCTAACCTCCAAATGCCGTTCACGGAGAAAGCTACCGGTCCATCCTAATACCGGATCTCCGGTGCCGTAGTGTTGCAGTTTGTGCAGGAGGATTTGATGATCCAAGCGATCGAAGGCTTACGAAAAGTCCATGTAAATAACATCGGTTCCTAGCCCTTCGTCGACTGCTTCGGTCCAATTGCTACGTGCAGATTTGTGGCACATTATCGATGTTTCGAAATACATACCGCTCCGGCGCTGTGATGCCGGAGCTGACCAGGTAGCCCATCAGTACATCCGCGATGATCGCTTCAATGACTGGCGAGAACAGGGAGAAGGGCTATCGGATGGTAATTGGCAGGATCAGATTGATTTCTGTCCCGATGAATGGGGGTTATAATACCTCGTTTCCACGTTGACGGAACTATGTTTTCGTTTAGAGAGCGCTTAAAATATCCGACAAGTGATTAGGCTAGCTGCTTGGCTCCTACCTGAAGTGTTTTAGGGTTAATGTTATTCACTCCAGGAGAGCGATGTGTGCGCAAGTATAGTAGGTTTTACAGCACCGTTTCTGCTGTGAATGTGATGCTGGAAAACACTGATGGTGTGGTGAAAGAAGCAAGTATAGTGTTGGAGGCTTGTACCCCTTTGGAAAGTAAGTAAGTACTTGCCCCTTAAAACGTTGGCCGCCTCTTTTACTGTGTATGCATATCCCGAACTGTAGTGCGGAAGAAATGCAGGAAAATGGTGCTAGTTAATCATTGCTGGCAGTATTCGTATCCTGATTGGGAGACCAGAAGTGAATGATAGATGGCGGGCCCAAGGAAGCAACAAGAACCGTTTCCGCACCAGACTAGTCGTAAGTATTCATTACTGGAGAAGTAATATGATTAAAACCTCGAAGATCCGTGTCTATGAAATCCCAACACTTCACCTTAGTGGTTCCGCTCTAGTGTGGTGAATCATACCATCGAGTTGATAACAGGAGGCATTAGGAGGGTCTGAAGAAAAACTTTAGCTAGACCGACAGTACAAATAACAAGCAAAAAATGCCAACCTCTTGCAGTGTCCGCAGTTGATCAGGCCTTGGCTCTGGGGGGCGCGAAAACGCCGTCATCTCGGAAACAGGGGGCAGCGGCTCTAGAGATCCGGAGCACCTTTTCGATTGATTCTTGTGCTCATCGGAAGATTTCGTGGATACTTTGTCGTATAGGTTCTCGGTACTCGGGGAGTTCGCAGGTTGCGAGGTAAGTGCGGACAAGCCAGGAAGATCCACTACTATTTGGGTGGAGCCATTTTGAGCAGTGCGATCTTTGGATGGGGTGTTAGGGAAGACACCATGGGATGGTCCGTATTCCGAGGAAAGGAATATGGTGTCGTCTGGAGTGTGTGCTGCTGACGGTGCTACAATTTCTTGTCGATTAGGATCGCTGCACAACAAGATTAGGTCATCTATTGTGGTGTCCACTTCACTGGTGCACTGAGAGAACATTGTCGACTCGGCATACACCTATCAAAAGCAACGAAGGTGTGATACATAAGTTAAAGGAAGCTGTGCGGCAATATTAAAACGGTAGTAAAAAGTCTTTCTAGTATAGAATGTATTGACAGAAATCTGCGTACTAAGGAGTTCAGGGAGTTTCAGTTTATTCAACCACAGTGTAAGTAGCGTAAAATCAAAAAATGCTGAGTAATCAGAGAGATTGACTTCCACCTGAGTACGGTAGCTGACTGCAGTTACTCTCTCACTCTAACGACCGTTTTCAGTTGCTCTCAATGACTCCGACACACCGTCGTAAAGGACGAAATCTCGCGAGACAAACGGAGTTAGGGTATACTCACGCAGCAGTGCTGTCATTAGACCGCTACCCGACGATGAGTGATTAGCCCTATGCCCACCAACATTTGGTTCTTGAGCTCAGTCAAAGAAAAAGGATGCTGTCGGCGAGATACTAACCGATGCGAATTCTGTACAAATCCGAAGTTAAAGAAATCACAAGATAGCACCATTTATTCATATGTACCCCAGCGTTGAAGCTGCAGTCAAATAGAGTATGCTGTGCGTTTCGGAATGAACATATACAGTGAACAAATAAGCAACACAGATAAACGGCAGCGCCGTAATTAAACAATTCTGAATGTTAATTAGTGAATAGCAGAGGGATTTATTGGCTTTTTGGTATCGATTCGTCGCAACTAGACGCAGGCAAACAGCCAAGGCAGTCGTTGTTCTGGGGGCAAGCCATATCGTCCGCACGTTCATCACATGCATGACAGTAGAGGATGAGTTGCGCTGTCGCGATTAGATACCAGTCATGGCGGTCCGCTGCCGTCATCCGTGGCTCAGCGGCATAAGTCGCAGACTCGTAAGAGTACGGTCGCAGATTCTAGTTCAGCAGGGTTCGGCGGGTGTGTGCTACTGACGAGTCCCAATAACACGAAACGGCCATCTAGCGGTTTCTTGGAACTGTGGCGGATTATGGGCAAAATGAAGTCAAAAGTAAAGGCGGGGGCAAAAGGTGGGAGTTAGGTATGACTGGATAGCCGAAGAACCTCCAAGTGGTGCCAGCTGGGTGGTCCGGGTTAATACTGTTCCAACAAATAGTTCAACGGCAGTCTTCCAGGAGGTGGTGCGTTTTCGCTTAGCAAGCGTTCTACCCCCCCCCCTCCAAGAAAGCCAAAAATGTCTGTGACGTGGCGGATGTGACTCGCCACTAAATAAAGTCACTGTCTCCTGCCTTTCCGGAGGATCTCACCCCATTCAAAAAGGTCAGCCACTTCGAAGATATTATTTAATCGCTTCCTATGTTTACCAATTCATCAAATACAATTACAACTTCAGTACAACAGTAACCAAATCACTGAACATGACTACTCACCCAATTACATATATACATACAACAGAACTCCAGTATGTACCGGTTAAATTGTAACATTTGTGTTCGATGACTGATCATACGCGTCCGTATTACTATGATCATGACTTTCTAGGCGTGTTCCCTGCACTTTTGGGAACAAAATATTTATTTATTTATTTAAGTACCGATGGGCCCCCGTCACAGGTATCAACGAAAGAGAAGAAAAGGCATTAGGCAGGTACGTCGCACCGACGCTTCGCTGCCACGTGACCTCCAGTTATTGCGTGTGGGTTAAGGTTACAGCGAGGTCACCCAGTCTTTTAGGCAGACTCGATCCGGCAAGCTGTGGGTTATAAGCCACACAGTTGAACCACTGTGCCAGTGGGCGGCACAAATATCAACACTGACGAAATCCGTATCATGATGTTTTTCCATCACACACAATAGAAGAGGGATAAAATACAACAACCGAATACTATAAAACAGGGATGAAAGAGCTGGAGTGACGTGGCTGCGATACTAGAAAAAGGTGGTTAGGGTCTGGGTGCAAACTACGTCCCGGAACCAACACTACAAAGCATATCAGACAGTATCCTTAACAGCTTCCAAGCCACCCGTCACAGAATTAACTTCAAAAGCAGTGAAAACCGATACAAAGAACAAACTTCGAGCCCATTGGAAATGATGGCATTGGTGGCAACAGCAGACTTAGTGCCGTGATGAGTATAGATCAAACAACCGAAACAGTTTCATGGAACCGTATTCGAAAGCTGTCACCGGCAAAAACAGCATGATGCTATTCTTCATTTACTGCTATTGTTGTGACAAGCTGTATCGGGGGCCAATGAGCATCTAAATAGAAAAATTATTTCCAACGCTTTAGCTATAGAAGTCCTATCTAACACATCGGGCTACATCTACCTGCTTTTACCGGACGCATTCTTAGACGTATGATCGCCTTGAGCCCGGCCACATTACTCGACAACACCATGAGGACTTCGCGGGTGCATCCCAGCGAATGGAAACACACCAGTCACTCGGTCTACTGACTGTTGCCGATAAAATTTCTAACGGGGTTGATCCCGCCGGAGAATCGTACTCTTTTCAGCACAGGTGAGGCGGAACAAATACAACAAACAGCGGAAATGCGAACCTTAGTAAGTACGTAAGTAAGTAAGCAGTAGACACACGCAATGTTAGTGCCACTAGAGGATTTGGTGTACTCTATGAAGTTAGCCACATGCAGGACTTCGTTCCCAAGGCAGAGTGATTTGGGGGCAATCAAAAAACGGTTCGATAGCAGTAATTTCAAATCGGCAGAAGTGACTTACGAGTAGGTCTGTATATGTAGACTAAATGTTGCTCAGCACTGAGCTAAAACAGTTCTTCTGGTCTGTACTCCGGGTCAGCAGTGAACTAAGGTCGGCGATGGAACGGATAGCACATCGACGATGAAAGTGCATGGCAGCGGTTTGTAAACGTGGTGTATCAATTCACCGCAATGATGCGGATGCACAAGGGCCATCTTAGGGTTGTCCCTAGGGAGATCGCAGTGACAGGCGAATCCGGAACCGGATGCCACCAACCATGGTTGTGCATAAATGAATTTGGAATGTGAAATTTAAAATGTCCATATACCGATGGGTAGGCACATGATGATGCAAAACTGCAATTTGTAATTCACACGTGGAAAGAATGAAAGCAAAGCAAAAGTGTAGCCAAAAGTCTTACGGTGGACAGTGAAACAGATGCCGGAGGCATATCGCTCTGCAATGCCACATATGAATCAGTTTCACACAGTCCGAATGGAGAATGGCATGTTCTAAAAGCCCAATGTGTAACCCAAAGGAATGCAGAACTTCACCAGTCTGAGGTGCTCATATAAAGCTGGCCGTAATCATGTGGAATGTGACAGAAGGCTTTTCATCCTAATGTGACTCAATCATTCAAATAACCCACACCTACCGGTCGATGGACCTGCGCATTCTCCGGGCTTCGACCGCTTGTCTGGGTGATGTTAATGACTTGACCATCGGAAATGATTGCCCGCATGGTTATCGGAGTTGGGAGAGAGATGTCCTCGGTGGGAGAAGGTTGTTCGGGCTTTACGTCAGTGACACTATACTCCAGATGTGGAAGAGGCCTCGATTTGATGTAGCCGAATGGCGCAGAGGTGGCCACGGTGCATGGACAAACAGAGGACGATACGGAGTCCGACGCTATCGATACAGCCAACTGGGTGGATGGGACGGAAGTGAAAGTGAGTAAGGGCTGATCAGCACACAAAATGATCGGCCGGGCGTACTGTGGACTGAAAACCGTTCCATCCGCTGTGGTCGATATGATGTCATTGGAATCAATCGCCACGATTTGTGCCTGCGGCCGATAAAACTGCTGCGATTGGTCGGAAGATGTGTTGATGGCGTTCACGAGCAAAGGTGCGGTCGCACTATTTTGGTCGTTGGCGTTTGTAGACAGAAGTATCAAACTGATTGGATTGGAAGAGGTGGAGGATCTCTGAGCAAGGTAGGCAATAGTTTGCTAAGAATGGGAAAAAGGAAAGGCATAAAAGTAAAGTGACAATAATGGAAGACAAGGGCTGAACTGAACTGGATTAGCTACATGAACGAAAAGTAACACTAACGGATCAACTTTGGTGAGAGTGATGTCGCTGCACACCACCGGGTAATTGTACCGCGGTTCTTCTCTATGGACAGTTGGGTGAAACTTTTGTGTGGTGACGGATGTGGCACAAGACCAGCATGCGCAGATTAAGCGGCGGTATAAGTACCTGCCACCGTCCTGAGGGGTTGTCCAGGAGTTTCCAGCGAATGTTTTTCGTTACCAATCGCAAACGACCACTGCTGTGCATTCAAAAACAGCTGCTAGGGGCTCTAAGCCTACCGTGGTAGCCCATGCGTTTTGCTATCTGTGATCACCGTTTGTTTAGGTTCCAATGTTGCATGTTTTGTGATTGATAAGAATGCACGAAATGACGGCGTCATCACACAATCAAGGTTTTCTGATCTTTATGCCTAGAACCATAAAGGGAAATGTTTGTTTCAAATGAAGGAATACCGATTTCGAGTATCCTTAGAACTAATCAACCGTGATTCGGATGGTCCAATTTCGATGTGGAATTGTGCAGAGTAAATGAACACCGGTGTTTCCAGAGCAGGTACGGGAGTGTAGCTATCTTCTGGAGCTTACCACAAACTGGTTACACCCCAGCCAATGAACCACACGCAGAACAACATACTTCCATTGACTGACACGAATGTGCCATCATTTCCTTGGACTTTATCGATCCAGCAGTGCCTGCAGCCACCATATGCCAATCCAGAGATGAGGAACTGTAAAGCTACCCAGGTCTTAACAAGTGCCGAAGAATCGTAATCACCAAGACTCGGATTTAGACCTGGTGGAATATAATTCTAAACAGCCAAACATCAATTTACAAGGGTTTCGCATCGACCCAAAATATATCTTCCAGTCGGTAAGAAAGGATGCTTTCAGCATGAGCAGGTTCAGGTCGCAATCGAGCCAATTGCCTGGATTCTATTGCTGCCAACGAAGGACAAAATCACCAGCTGTACGCCGTAAAGGCGCTTCGCTACCGCGCGACCACTAACAGTTGTACGTGGGCTGAGTATACCGCGAGGACGCCCTCCTCTACGCGGATTCGAACCTGTGACCTTATGATCGCAAGCCTGGCCACCAGCCGACAATGCTGCCAACAGTCATTGAAGTATTTAATGGCTGTTTCGAAGTCTCCGTGTTTCTCGATGGAACTACTTATGCTATTTCTCGCTAAGATTTGAATGAGCTATGGCACTTCGAAGACAGATCTTCATGGGTATATTGCATCCGGTCGGCAACTTAGTTTCGACCCTTTTAAAGACAGCCGCTTATTAGTTGTGCAAATTCAGCATAGACAGTATTAATTCGTAGTCCGCGGTGTCTGCGCTAAGAGTACGCGCATTCAGCACTGGACAGTTACACTAAGTCAGTGGACTGACCAGTTAGAAAAGCGTCCGTAGCTATGAACGACAGGTTTTTAGGTGAGCTAAACCATCCATTGCAATGAGACGTGATAGCCGGCAGATGGGACCAGCCAACGGGCGGTCGCTACCGCCACGACCAGTAAGCTGTCCAAGAGATGGTTCAAGGACGACGGTTGTGAAGAGCAGACAGTCTGCTCCGAAGCTTTATGCAGCGGATGAGGTTTCAACACCTAACCATCGCCAGAAAGGAGCGTGACCACATCCCCACAGATGCATACAACCCTACATTGAAAGCAAAAAAAAGAGTGAGAAACGTGGATTGCGCAAAACGGGCGACAAGTGCTTAGTGGGAAATAATAATCGTTATGTTCCGAAGGACACTAGCCCAGCCCAACATCACACAGATGAACGCTTAAGTCTTGATATCGAGCTTTAATCGGGTCTCAGCAAAGGAAAAAGCGAAGACAGAAAAAAGAGCGAATATGGGGTAACAAACGAACACCAGAAGAAATCACCGTGATCTCATCCGGTGTTCTTGGCGAGAAAATGAACAGATGGATGCAAACAGAAAAATCCGTTTTCCACCTAATAAAAACACATAAAGAATCTTCATCTGAACCCAGGGATATAAAAGAAAATATTCCTACCGGAAATGAAAGTCAATAGCAGTTGGAAATAAATGCTGGCACACAAGCACAGTTCCAACAGTATGGTCAAAACCAGATGATGGTAAATCAGAAAAGAATCAGAAAGCACCTACGATGAGGAGACAAAAAAGGAAGAGAGAAAAAGTACACAAGGATAAAGTATGTCTGCAGGGGCATTTAGTCGAAACTAGCAGACAGCTCAGGGTTTCATTATAAATACCATCTCGTAATGCTCAAAAATACCTACCGATGTTCCACCAGAGGTAAGCGGTGCTCCGTAAAGACAACCCATCTCCAAATATCTGCAGTCCGCTTTGTACACAGTGACGTCAACTTTATCACAGCGTTGTACAATCTACTTTCGGCTGATAGCCTGATATCAGGCTGTCTCCACGGATGATTGAGACTTGGAAAAAACCACTCGAGCTATACTGCCATGTGAAATAACTCTGTCAGTGATGTCATCGTCAGAGGTAACACCTTTACCATTGGTAGTGAACCGATGGATTACCTCCGGTGAATGTTTGCCGCCAGATAGAGCCAGCGACGTGTCGACTCAGTTCTGTAATGGTGCTTTGCACTTTGAAACTGCTAAGCACATGCGGGATACGTTACAACGCCCCAAGGACGCTAACGTTTAGCTCTCGGTAACTCTCTGTTCATGTATACGATTCGACTTCCCCTGCACTGTTGCTCCTACCTTGGGTCCCGGATCGAACACACGCGTTGCTACCAGAACACCCGTACTTTGTAGTGTGGTCAAACTAATACGCTTTCTCGGCCCAAGCCCTCATTACCTACGCATTTTGCCTGACTTTATCAGATGTTCCTAGCCTCTTAGAACTCAGTAGGGACCAAAGGAAAATCACTCTTCTGTCAAGTGGAAGGCAAGTGCACCTTCGACACAAGCAAGCGAGGAACTTGTTTACCCGCAATGCTGCACTCAGCAAATCACGTCCCATCTTTGTTCATCTTACCACACCGGTTGTGGAGGCTGGCACCATGTAGTCTGCTCTGCAGGCTGGCACAGGAAAAGTCGTGGCTCACTCTTCTCGGAAACTCGCATCTGTGTATGATGGGCTTGCTTACCGATTTGTAGCTGTAGAGTTCATTAATGGGTGTACACACAAAATCTAAGTGACGATGGCGTTTCGTTACTTGTTGTAGCTACTCCCGAATCAGTTAAAGATCATAAATCGCATGGTTGACTCGCGAAGTTACACACCGACTGCTTTCCACGGTAGTCAGAAATCAAAACACAAGTTATGAATTCATCAGTTTCGCTTGCACACATGCTGGAAGGTAGGAGGATGGTGCCACTAAGTCATTCCGCAAAGTTCGATTACCAGTAAATCCCATTCTTAAAAGATGGTTACCGACCCTACTGAATATCTCACACAAGTTCCTGAAACCGTAACCTGACTCAACACTCTGATCCAGATTCGAGTACCGAGGTTTCAACTCATCGGCAACGAATTTACTCAATAAGGTGGGTACCTACACTGTATAGGATAGGGAAACTCAGAATGACGATAAAGTTTAGTTACGCCGTTAAAACTTGTTCGGGTCTGTCGTCTGGACACGTGCGAATTGGGAAACGAGCATTAGGCTAGTTTCTGTCAACGTTTCGGTCAAATGGACCATTCGAAAACCCATGGTCATCGAGTTCCCCTATCCAGTTGATAACACTGTCGCCCGCGATTTCGCCACCCAACTGGAGCACCCATTTATTTATTCGTAACGATCGACACCCTGTGGGCAACAACAATGGTGTTTTTTGATCGGTATCGACACAGACATGTCGCATGAGTGGCGATCTTGTGACACGACCCTGGTGACCTTGAATCGTAAGTGCTTTTTTGCTTTACCTAGTTACATTGACGGACTGACGTGGGGCCGGTCTTACTCGTCCGACTGCATTAGCCTGTCTGTTTTGCACATCACACATTCTAGTTACAACATGCGGTTTTGTGTGACGCTTGAAAGTTTGTCTATAGACAGTAATTGCGGGGTTAACAGCGCAAATGCTAGGACTGTAAATTCTTCATCACCGCAGGCACTCGTGGGGATAGCTGCAGAATTGTTGGTACACGGATCCAAACGACAGTGCCCATGAATTCACTAAGAAACTTGATGATCTCACAGCTACAAGTCGGTAAGCAAGCCCATCATGCACAGATGCGAGTTTCCGAAAAGAGTGAGCCACGACTTTTCCTGTGCCAAACTGCAGAGCAGACTACATGGTGCCAGCCTCCACAACCGGTGTGGTAAGATGAACAAAGATGGGACGTGATTTGCTGAGTGCAGCATTGCGGGTAAACAAGTTCCTCGCTTGCTTGTGTCGAAGGTGCACTTGCCTTCCACTTGACAGAAGAGTGCTTCGTTGGTCCCTACTGAGTTCTAAGAGGCTAGGAACATCTGATAAAGTCAGGCAAAATGCGTGGGTAATGAGGGCTGGGGCCGAGAAAGCGTATTAGTTTGACCACACTACAAAGTACGGGTGTTCTGGTAGCAACACGTGTGTTCGATTCGGGACCCAGGGTAGGAGAAACAGTGCAGGGGAATTCGAATCGTATGCATGAACTGAGAGTTACCGAGAGCTAAACGTTAGCGTCCTTGGGGCGTTGTAACGTATCCCGCATGTGCTTAGCAGTTTCAAAGTGCAAAGCACCGTTGCAGGACTGGGTCGACACGTCGCTGGCTCTATCTGGCGGCAAACATTCACCGGAGGTAATCCATCGGTTCACTACCAATGGTAAAGGTGTTACCCCTGACGATGACATCACTGACAGAGTTACTTCACATGGCAGTATAGCTCGAGTGGTTTTTTCCAAGTCTCAATCATCCGTGGAGACAGCCTGATATCAGGCTATCAGCTGAAAGCAGGGTG